ACTAGGGGCGGCCACGAGCCGAGTTATTTATGAGCTCTTCGAGTTCGGTTTTTCAAAAGTTTGGTTTGGCTCGATTTCAATCGAGTTTCGAGTTGAATTTGAGTTCAATTTACAGGTTTAATTAATAAATGGGTCAAATTCGAGTCTATATATATATATATATATATAATTTTAGAAAATAATATATAATAAAAATATTATAATTCTTAATTTTTTAAATATTAAATAAAAAATATTTTATATATTATTTTTATAAAACTTTTTTTCTGAAATCGAGCTCAGCCCGAGCCGAGCTCGAGCTCGAGCCTTGTATAACCTTGGCGAGCCGTGCTCAAACCCCATACTATTCGACCCAAATCCACTCCTATATATGAGTGAAAATAGTTAATATATAGGCGAAATAAGTTAGGAACCCAAATCTAATTCTCTCTCTCAAATTCTCAAATCTGCAAGGAACCTAGATCTCTCAAGGGACCCAAATCCGATATCTGAGAGATACTCAAATTTGAGAATCAGTCATCATCCATCATTTCAGCAGTTCCAGTGGTTTCAGTAGTTTCGGTGAAGAAAATGAGGAGAGGGAGAGAGATCCGAGTAACCTATAGTGGAAGATAAAATAGTATTTTTTACATCTCTGTTAACGCACGCTAATGACTAAGAAGAACTAGTCAATTGTCAAAAACAATAGGGGGCCGTTAGCCAATTTTTTTTATCAATTAGCTAAACCATAAGGGTAAACAATAAGGATACATTTAATCAATTAGCTAAACCATAAGGGTAATTTAAGAAATTTACCCTAACCAAGCACATGAAGTTTATGTGGGGAGTGCTTTGTAAGGAGCAAATCCGAACTTGCCATAAACAGGAAGAGAGAACTTTGTAATAGGCTATGGGACAAATCCGTCGAACAAATGGAAAGCACAATGGGAGGCCTTTGGGTTGAACCATTGGCTCTCCGTTCCTCTTTTATAGGTCCCCCAACGACCTAGATCAAGTCAAATCAACGGCATTGATTCAATGCCACCCTTTGTTTGGGTAATGGTTGAGTTGGCCATGGACGCCACGTGATAGCCTCCACGACCATCTTATCTCTTCAGTCACGTTGGCACCACGAGGGATAGATAAACATGACCAAGGAGAATCTTGTACAGGGAGGACAACAATGTCGGAGAAGAGGACTTATCCCGAAGACCTTGGCAGGTAACCTCATCTCAACAACCCCAGAAGCCTCATCCGAATTGGACACAGATCTTCAGGTATAAGTAGGTAACCTTCGCTTAGGGTAAGGGACTTTTGGATTTTCAGACTTCTATCTTGCCTCTCTTGCTCGGACTAGCATTGTTCTCATTTGCTTAGCCCGATCACTTACCTTTCATACCACTAACTTGAGCGTCGGAGTGTCTACCCGGGGAACAACTCCTCGGGCCTCTGATCTTTTCTTGATTTCAAATCTTGCTGCACGGTTTCGTCTTTCCACCTCGATTTCACCAATTGGCAAAACTATCTGACTACAATCTTGCTTCAAAACATCTCGGATCGGACAATATCAGATACCATGAAAGAATTATGAGAACTCAAAATAATTGCATTGATCTGAATAAAAGAAATAGATTAATTTATAGACGAAAGGATAAACTGAAATTAACTCAAACTCTTCTATCCTAGATTGACTCAAACAATAGACCTCGATAACTGACAAATCTATGTTGAACTAAGTGAGACTGAAATTTGAAAAAGAAAACATGGTTATGAAATTTATGAATAAGTTTAATCTTTTCCCACAATTACCCCTACTCAAATACAATAGTAGGGGTCAAACAAAATTTGCTTTTTGAAATGAAGTCCTTTTTTTCAAAGGTGAATAATTAAGAAATAAAGAAAAAATATACAAGAATGACACCCAAGTCCTTGTCCCATGTGAACAAAGTTATGAGGTTTGGGACTCAGGGTTTTAACTTTTACGTTTTTTTTTTCTCGCTTTCTTTTTCTTCATTTTGTTCTTTTACTCATTTCACATCCTTCAACACTTCAATCTTATCTCTCAATTTTATCTCTTCAAACTTAAAGATGACATTTTTTCATGTCTGGGTACCCAAACCTAATCCGATCAGGATGAAAGATTACCTTATATATATATATATATATATATAAATCTTTTTCCTAAAAAAGAATTTATTAAAAAGGTCAAGGACTTGGGTCCCCAATGGAGAATTCATCCCCATTAGGGATCAGGGATGGGAAGTATAATCTTCGTCCAAAACCCACCCTGTTATGATTAAGTTGATGTTATATGAAAGTGCCTGCCCCCACTAATCAAAGGTCTTGAACCTGCCACTTACCTCAACCTTATCTAAATCACTTAAATCCTTAACCCCATCCTTATCTCATTCCCTAACATTAGAAAAATTGTTTTTGTTTTAAAATACAATATTTTGCTGATTATAAAAAATCTATTATTTAAAAAAAATCAACTTATATTTTCCATTAAAAACATAAACAGAGTTCAAGAATATATTTTTATTCTTTTAATACAATGATTACAAAATCAAATGAAAACAAAAGCATTAATGATGCGGAAGCCCCTTAATGACTTCAACTTGATGTTGGATGGATGACCATAGAAAAATGTACATTGGCCGCCAGAAGATATTATTAATAGATTGGATTCTCTTCCGTCGTTAAAAGATATACATTGGCGAGAGCCGCTTTATATGATGTTTCTACTTTTCTAAAATGGGAAATAGCTGGGTCCCTGTTGCACCATATAGAATATCTCCAACCATTCAGTTTTCTAGTTGTCATGAAAACTTTTATCAAATAAGAATATCTCCAACCATTTGTGTGGTTAAATGTTACTATTCCTCATCGATGTTGGGTAGATGGTATCAATCAAGGTTTTTAGAACCGGACCGGACAGGGAACTCTTCTGTAAGAGTGTCAATGGACTGGTTTTGGACTGGGTCCATCTATTTCAAAATTAATTTAAATGGATTGGACCAATCTGATCCAATCCATCTAAATTAAAACGAATTTGAAATCAATCTAAATTAAAACGAATTTGAACAGATTGGATGGTCCTGACATTGAATTGGACTGGTCCAAAATATTCATTGGATTGGATTGGACATGGTCCATTTGTAATGAATTCGCATTGGACTGGATCAGATTGAACCAAATCCAATCTAATTGACATTGACACCCCTACTCTTTTGGGTCCAATTCTCGGGTCGAACAGTCTGATCATCTAGTCCGAATGGACGGCTCATTCTGACAAAAAAAATAAAAACAACCAAAAACCGTTGTCTGGGTCAACAATTCGATTGCCTGAATCAGCAGTTTGCTGACCAAATCAATAATTTTTGGCCAAAAGCGATTTTAGGGTAAAACAGAACCGGTTAATAGGTATGGCAACGACGCGGGTTTGGGGCGGGGCACCTCCTTATCAGGGATGGGGAATCCCCAAATTTTCCTCACCCCGAGTCAATTCCTAAAACTACATCATATTTAGGGTATTTTGGAAGTCATACTATGGGAATTTAGGAGTATTTTAAACATGTATTATGGAAATTTGGGGGTATTTTAAACATTAAATTATTGGATCCTAAAGGTTTTAGGAATTTGTGAAATTTTTAAAGATATTTTATAAATTAATATTAAATCTAAGCATATTTCAATAATTTACTATCAGGTTCAGAAAATAATGTATAAAATCCATCCCTGGTTTAGGGAAAAGTATTTTCCCTGTCCCTATTTAAGACCGGGGAAAACCCATCCAATTCAGGGCGGGAAGGGGCAGGGCCCTAGTTTTACTGGGAATGTTTCCACCCCTACTAGTCAGATGAGCGGTTCCCGGTTTTTTAATCCAACCCTCTGGTCCGGTCCGGTTTTCAGAACCACGGTGTCAATTAACCTTCACCTTCACTTATACAGAATGAGGAGGAAATGATGTTGGGCAGAGGGTGTATCACTAACTGTAGCTTTTCAACTGAAATTGAGGTTGAGGGTTGGACGGTTTTTTTTCTGTTTTTTCCTTTTGAAAGATGAAGGAAAACTATTATTAACAAAAAAAAGAAAAAAAACATTATACAACGAGGCCAAGAGCTAATACATGGGCATTCCAGAACTTTGGAGGCCATGAAGGCCCATGCTTGAAAAAAAAAAAAGAGAAAAAAAATCATTATTTTCTCTGTTGAGAAGAACATTGAGAATCTTTGAGATGGCATATGCATAGTATAATACACAAAAGACAAAACAAAATGCAATTAGACTTCAAAGAATAAATAATACAATAATAAAATGGGTAGGTTTGGGTTTAAAGCATAAAAAAAAAAAAACTGGTGGACGTGTGCGAAATGAAAAAAAACTAAAACTGGTCCTACTAGTACTACATGTCACCAGTTTCAATTTCAAAACACTCTCTGTCTTCTTACCATTATTGAACCTAAATTTTCAACTTCAACCTGCATAACTGCATTGCATGGTATGGTTAGTTACCAAGAACTCGGTAACGCGGAGTATTCATTTGATAAGAACTCGGTAACGCGGATTGAAACTTGACCGACCGAGTTAGCCTTAGCCAGCCCCCTTGGCACTGCATTAATCATCACTCCCTATTAGCGTGTTTACACCGGGAAGGCTTGTTGTTAACGTGTTTACATGAGGAGAAGGACAACTGGATCCTGCTGACTTTTGACCAGTCCAGACCCTTTTCGTTGATTCTTCGATGGGAAACGGGATCTGTTCCTCACATGGGGCGCCTCACATGCACATCTACCGTATATTGAGAACATTTCTAATGCATAATACGATGTGCGTGTGAGGCGCAAATGAGACGCCCTGTGTGAGGAACAGATCCGGTCTCCTTCGATGGATGTGTAGTTGGCTGTGTACCGAATCATAACGCCCCACATCAGCTTCCACCTGTCTTTCTCCGTGGGCCTGACGTGGGGCTTGGCTATTCGCTTATCTATTCTTTAGCTCACTCGCCTAAAACACAATAGGAAACTCAGCCTCAGCCCAGCCTTCAGCATTTCCCTTTCCCTTTCCCAAAGATGTAATTGTCTGGCTGACCGCTGACGCTGTGGCAGTCATGTCCATTTCTACACCTTCACTTGGCAGAACGGACGGCCCTCCGTCGGTTCTGCCAAGTGCCAGCCCTGCCATAGTTGTCCTGACCTAATAACACGTCACCCATGTTATCGTAAAAATACCAAAAAAGTAGGCGAAATGGCCTTTCCGGTACCGTCTACCGTCAAAAGAATATTATGAAATTTTCGTTTTCCTTTTCGAATTTCGGCCACCCGCCTTTGTAGACGAACGCCCATCGATTACTCCTTACTCGATTCAAGTATTCAACTTCCGAATCGCCGATGCTGCTGCTCTCGTCCCACTGTACCAGTCCACACACGTTGTAAGTTGTCACTTTAACCGAGTTGGGAATGACGAGTTTAACTCGGTGGTCAAATTCAAATAACTGGTCAAAGTCGCCGTTAACAGTACTTCTCCGTTTTCCTTTTGGTCTTTGACGGGACGAAACGTCATTAATTAAACCCCAAAAGCCCCATATGATTCATAACTTTAATTTATTATTTCACTCCAAAACCCCAGCTGAGAGGTGTGAAAAAAATTATCATCTGACGTACGTCTGTGTTGATCTTCTTCTTCCTTCTCCAAGACCTATTATCAATTCAAACAACATTACGTATATAATCAGAAGATAAGAGGGCCAAGAGTCCAACTCTCTCTGCAAAGCATATTGAGATCAAAGAAGAACAAACTGAGAAGGGAATCAGGACACCAACTACATTGCGAGATGAAGTTCTCTCTTTCATTCTTAGTCTGCTTCTCTTCTGCCCATGAAGATAACGTTGACTACAGCAAACAAGGTATGTATCAATCGATTTCTCAAAATTTCCCCCTTTCTCTGCTTCCATTACTCTAGCACTGGGGATCAATTTCGTCTAGACCATCAACTGGGTTGACATGTACTGACTAGTGAGGAAATTATCCTTTCTTTCCTCTTCCACTTATTCATCTGTTTTCCACAAAGATGCATATATCTGTACATGAATTTTGTGAATTCAGGGCAACTAGAATCTTTCACTCGGTACTTAGTATGACCTTTCTTTAAGGGGTATTAGACTATTAGCTCATCCAGAGGTAGCATGGTTCAATACTTCAATGTATGACTGCATCGTAAAATGGAAAAAATCAATCCCTCTTTTCTAGGTTAACATAATTATGGGAAAAGACAGAGATTTTGGGGTTCGCAAAATTGTTGGCTATATATCTAGCCAATCGATAAAACCGTTGGAGTAATTTGGGATATCAATCTTAATCGTTCTAGTTAGAGTTGGAAAGCCAATGGTTTTATTTAACATAACTGGTGAACCAGGTCTACAATCTCCTCCAAATGTTCACCATTATTCCTACAAGGAATTGAAAGATGCGACTCAGGGTTTCCGACCGTTGAACAAGATTGGAGAAGGGGGTTTTGGCTCTGTCTACAAGGTAATTTGGTTATATTCTTTTTTATTGTTTCTCTCTCGTCCTTTACTCTCATCCTTAACCACGAATATCTACCTTATATATTTATTTATGTATCCAAAAGTACTAGATTAAGTAACAGTACTTAAGACATCAAAATTATGGACCTCTATCTAAATGATACAATCTATTTTTTATGGAACCACAAAAGGGACGACTTCAAGATGGTACTCTCGTGGCGGTAAAGGTGCTTTCAGCCGAATCAAATCAAGGAGAGAGGGAGTTTATGGCTGAGATAGCTGCAATGTCGAATGTCAGACATGAAAATCTTGCTACGCTTCTTGGTGGCTGTGTTGATGGAAGTAACAGAATTTTGGTTTATGAGTATATGGAAAATAACAGTGTTGCGCATATGTTGCTTGGTAAACTTCGACTTCCTCAGATCTCCTTTCATTTTTCATTTTCTGGTACAATATTCATGGGATTTGTAGTATGCAATATTCTACTAGTTGCTAAATTACTTTATTTAGCATAGTAGTATACCAGCAATGTGAAAACCCACCATGATTCAGAATATAATGTCATCTTCTTGTTTTGGATGATAGGTGGGGAGCATAACAGAGTTATGCTTAATTGGGATGTCAGACGCAAGATCTGCTTAGGGGTTGCTCGGGGCCTTGCCTACCTTCACGAAGTGCTTAGGCCTCACATTGTGCATCGAGATGTTAAAGCTAGAAATATACTTCTTGATGCGGATTTTACTCCAAAAGTTTCAGACTTCGGTCTCTCAAAGCTATTTTCCGATGATGTTACTCATGTTACTACACGCGTTGCCGGAACATTGTAAGTTCAGTTGCCCTCCCTCCCCTTTCCATGAATTCTTATATCTGTTTGTTTGCATAACTCCGCTAATTCACAGTGTCTTGTTCTTTCAATTTCTTTCAATTACAAATGTGCAGAGGCTACCTTGCTCCTGAATATGCCATTAGTGGGCGTTTGACAAGAAAATCCGATGTCTACAGCTTTGGTGTACTCCTTATGGAAATCGTCAGTGGTAGACCAGTTGTGGACTTCAACTTAGAACATGGGGAACACAATCTTGCCGACAAGGTAATTTGTTAACACTTTATCATAACTTTTGGCCTCTAAGTTCAATTTCCTACTTGGATTCTGTAATAATGTAATATTAGTCCTACGATTTTCAATAATGTAATATTAGTCCTAATAATGTAATATTAGACTTTCAGACTGTAATAATGTAATAATGTAATATTAGTCCTACACTTTATCATAACATTCAGACTTGCAAATTTTCCAGACCTCTAGCTGAGTAGAGTAGAGACAGTGGGTTATATCCCCGATGGTTGGATCCTCTATTCTATAGGCCACATTAGAGAGATCTAAGCATTCAGTTGATCAAATTGACTGAAAAGTAAACCGTTTGATCTATTGCCATATTTTGAGAAGATACGTGTGGAAATAAGAAATAAGAAACGGCTAGATGTCATCTCAGAACCATTCAACTAAAAGCTTAAGCTGTTAAGTGAGGTACTTGAATAGGTTTTATTCTCTAACATATATCTGCATGCATGAGATATTTCCTACTAGCTATTGGTCACTGCATAAAATGTAGCTAGCAATTTTAACTTCTTAATAGTCTGCAAGGCGCTTATCTTCCATCTTATCGCCTTCCCGTGTTCCTTCCTAAGTTATGTGTGTGAAACATTGTATATGCAGGCTTGGGGGATGTACCAGGCTAATGAGCTATTGCAGTTAATAGATCCTTCACTGAAAGGAGAGTTCCCTGAGGAAGAAGCCATCCGATTTTTGAAGGTAGGACTACTTTGTGTGCAAGATGATCCTAAGCTCCGTCCACATATGTCTAAGGCCTACAAGATGATGTGCAATGAGATCGATGTCAAAAATTTCGAGATATCGCCTCCGGGGCTCCTCATGGATCTTGATAATGTCAAAGTAGGCGGCAAAAATACTTCAAACACTAGCAGTGGTACTTCCAAGGGCTCCACGGCCACAAGTAGTAGTTCATGGGGAAGCCACAGTGCCACCTTGATCGAGTAGACAATATGTATCACTGCAACACATCCTTTTGTCCCCGAAGCCTAGATGTGCGGAGCTAGAAGGTCTACTTATAGAGTGATATTCCGCCGAGTGGGTCTTTGTCAACCATTTTCAACTATTCATTATGCCCTGCATATTTGAGCTTTGTGGTCACGGAAGGTAATCATGTACATGATTTTTTTTTCCTAATGTAAAATTAGAAGGAATGTCGAGAACATCATGCTTATAGTTTGTAAATCTTCATCCTGAACATGTAAAGATGCAAAACAAGCAAGAAGGTGATGAGCCCTTTTTTTTTCTGATACAAAACAATGCTGTAATGATTCAGCTCTTTCACAGTATATATTTCGGCCCATGTTTTAGTTAGTTTTTACCATAAGAATTTAAAGACTAAAGTTGTAAAGATTGGACTGTTTAAGATGGCACTCGGGTATATTTTTCATTGCTTGGGTATCAGTTGGATATCTGAAATAAGAGGTGGAGTGTAATCATTTTGGAATCCCCAGTCTGGGTTCTATATATTAAAGAAGAATTTGCTTGCTCGATCCCATCCTTTTTTTGTTTCATTCCGTAGCTTGCTCTTAACGCAATGTAACAGGTTGCTATAAAAATAACTCATGGAACTCAAATGAATAAATAAATACACCATCAGCCACTTATATTGAATAAAAGCTATCAAGGCAAAAATAATAATAATAACTAGCAGAAACATCGAAAACAAATGAAAGATTCATTATCAGTATATAGAGGGACCATTAGTCTTGAGATGGAAGCTTCATGATCAGTAGGCAACAGAGCTTGATCGTTTTAATTAATTCCTTACGCTAAACAAACACCAAGAACTCTTCTTAGCATGGATGATGGACCATCACATATATATATATATATATATATCAGTTGGATGGCATAATGCATGGCATTTGATGTGTCCTTTGATACCTGCAAAACCCTGCCCGCATTATATACATGGCTGCTGCTGGTAATAAACCAATATACATAATAGGAGAAGTAGCGTCGCCGCTATAACAATGCTTACAAGCAACAAGCAGAAGCAGGGGGTGGGGTGGGGTGGGATCCACTGGTTGTACTTTCTTCTCTGAGTTCTGACCATCCAAAACGAATGTTTGATAGATAGGAGGAGTTGGAGCCGTCCAATCGGATAGCTTTCAGCGGATCTCTACAGTGGGACCCATCCAATGCCGGATCTCCCGCTACTTTGCTTGGCTATCCATTGGCCAAGGAGCTTTGGTGACGAACCTGCAACCATCGAAACACTAGAGTTATAAAACCTTTACCGGTTCTTCTGTCGCATACATGATTCTATGACGGCAAAACTCTTGAGAGAGAGAGAGAGAGCGAGAGAGCGAGAGAGTAGTAATTGCAGTTTAGAGCATATGGATGCATCCGGTATATGCAATATGCATGGCTCCTCGCACGCCATCCACGAAGACCATCGATGTGCCGATGGGCTCTACGAATGGCATACAGGGAGCCAGGCACATACGTAAATACGTATGCTATCACATGGCATAACATGAATGCATTAATGTATATATGGTTCAACCAATTGCTTCGATGGATGATGAAAAACAATGCAAGTGCGGTAGTTTCCGTGATCGTTGCTTGCACCGGCCGAGATCTACAGGGAACGGAGACGGCCTGTATTAAGCCGGACCACAACTGGGATAGGATAGGATGTGGTTGAGAAGAGGAGGAAGAGAGTGGAGGTGGAGCAGTATTTATGCAGGAGAAGAGATCTTTGCTAGATCATTCAAGTCCTAATCAAATGGGTTTCTATTTCTATGTCCCACATCTCCCCTCTAGCTCGTTTTTCTTTTCTCCCAGCAACCCAACAAACCACCTTTTGAGTTAGTACAGAACAAACGTAGCTCAGAAACTACTCTACCACAATCGCCTGCCCACCTCTTTTCCTTCTTTCACTACTTTGGGTGCGGGAAACCATCGCTAAACTTAGCTAGCGAAGGTCTGCTGAATTGGTGGGGTCTTGTGAGAGGGAAAGAAGAAGGTGTGGGGTTTCAGTTGCACCCCAACTGCTGCTAAATATAGAGGCCAGAGAGAGAGAGAGAGAGAGGTTTGGTTGGCTCACTACCCACGCAATTTCCTAAGCCTCCCTTAGGATTTTTGAAATCTCCTTTTCTGGGTCTTAAAGCAAAGGTTCTTTTCTCCTCTGAAACTGATTTGTCTGGAAGTGCTTGGAAGACATGGATTCCTCTTCTCACTCCATAAAAAAAATCTAATCCTCTTTTTCTCTCCCTCTTTCTTATTCTTTTCTCTTTTTTTTTTACTATTAAATATAATATGTTCTACTTGCATGTGAAAAAGTGAAAGAAATTCAACTCACTACTTAGTTTTATCAAACCTTTACATAATCAAATGCTATATACCAACTACATCCTCCAATTCACCTGCACTTTGTATCCATTCAAGAAGCAAGTATTTATTGAATATGAATTTCTTTTTCAGGCGCAGTGTTTTGAGTTGGAACATATTGCTAATAATACTATTTTATATGAACAGATGATAATCTTGAGTGTATGTCTATTACCATTTGGCAGTAGTGTATGTGAAACATCCCCAACCTTTTAGCATAACAAAAAGAATGAAAAGAAAAGAAAATAAAATTCATCCCCAACAACCAATGACAACAGGTAGGGGATGGAAAAGAAACATGATCCAGGTTGCAGTAGAGAACCGCCAAGATTTAAGCTCAAGGGTTGGGATCGCCCTAATCATCGGTTCAATTGAACATTTACAGTGGTCATAATGTTTTGGAATCTTTGACCAATAGAGAGAGAGAGAGATGAATAACTTATGAGCATAAAAATTTTGGGGAGGGTAAAAGAGGAATGGACTAATATCAATTAACAAACCCAAAAAAGGAAAATAGTAGTCCAAGGTAAAAACAAGTGGACAGAGAGAGAGAGAGAGAGAGAGAGAGAGAGAGAGGCGTGAGAGCGTCGAGACTGGAGAGGGTTCTCAGTCAAAAGAGGACAGAAACTGTGATAGGAGCCGATCGATCTTCCATGTCTAGAAAAAGCTGCAGTGTTTTCTTTCCTTAGTTTGTAGAAAATGGTAAAAATAAAGTGAAAAGTAGAGAGATTAAAAATGGTAAACTTTTTATCGTTTATAGGGTTGGAAGGAACAAGTGTGGGAATCGTGGTGTCAGGGCTGAGCAACGCCTTGGTGTTTGGATGGAAGCCTCGCGGTTAGATTCTATTCCAGTATTCCTCCCTGCCCTCTCCCTCCTCCCTCTGCCTCAGGCATGCCCGCCTCTTCCTCGATTTCCCAACCCCACATCTATCATCTATTCCACCATACCAACACGACTGTGGCTTCAGTACCAATTACCAATACCAATACCACCACCACACTCCTCTCCATTGCTCTATGCTTCAGCAGCAGCAGCTGGTTCTGGTTCTGGCTGGTTCCTGCTTCTTCTGATACTGCACCTGCAGCTGCTGCAGATGCAGCTGTACTTTCTCCATGCACCTTCTCTCCCATTGCCTGTTGTATAGGTCAAATTAATATGATAGTTGAGATGGATGTTCTATGATAGGTCCCTCACCCTCAATTTCACTGGATTCGTCTCTCTTAGTCTTAACATACATTCACACTCACACATGTGCTTCCTAAATCCTAAGTCCTAACTGGACAATGCAAGGAAATCAACCTGTGAATTAGTTACTACTGCACCAAATCAAAAACATTCAACTAATGATATTGCATCCATCCGTCCCTCTAGCTATCAGTGGGTGCTATTAATTAATTTGTTACTGGACAAGAGGTCCAACATCTGGCCTTGAAAATGTGTTTGGTTGATGCAATTGTTGGACCAATGTGGAGTACTGCTCGTCCCAAAAATTTTATCTCCTTCTATCTGATCATTTCCTATATCGTTTTGCATATCTACTCCTATATATTGATTTTCCCCCCTCCCAAAAAAAAAGGGTTTAATTTCAAGTAAATTGAATCTGCTTCCTCCGTAGCTCTTTTTCTTTTTTTTTTATTATTATTATTCCTTTTTTTTTTTGGGGGGGGGGGGGTGGAGGGGAAAGGAATTTAATTATAAACTAAACGAAATTCCACCGGTTTCTCTGCTGACCGATACATTCTGGCAATGTAGAGTTGATGTACACTGAAGCACTGTTGTAGACATGCCGAATGTAGAGGACCGGATATGGACAACATGAGTTGGCTCCTGTCAGCCTCGGCATTGCTAAAAGAAAGGGGGTAGGGTTGGTTGTCTCACTCTCATCTGGGCGCTAGCTGCTCTGCTGCTGTTGGGGAGCTGTGTGGGTTAGGCTGGGAAGGAGGAAGATATATAGCTAGAGGAGGAAGAGGATTATTTTGTAGCAAAGTACGTTATCTACAGCAAACATGTGGAGAATCCATGTTCCTTTATTACAATTATTTTCCTAATTAAAGAAGCCCTTTTGCCCTTTGGGACTCCATCTTGCTGAATTAGCTTAATAATAGGATGTCTATTCCTGCCCTATCATCCCACATGAAATATTAATGAAAAGCATATAAATATATAGGCTAGCTAGTAACAGGAGGACGTAGATGCTAACTCAGCGGGTCGGGTACTTAGTATGAATATAATACTTCTAGCTATCACATTGTTTTTTTTATCTGTATCTCGATTCTCAATGTAATTAATGTAATTGTCAAAAATATAATAGACAAGAGGGACAGCAAATGTTCTTTCCAATACAACCATTCCATTCATGGGTCTACTACGTACGGATGCATGTGCCATGACTCATGAAATTTTGGGGGGTGAATAAGAGAATTCAAATTCCTTAATACACCCTTTAGGGATTTCCTCTATTGGGCTTCTTCCTTGTACATTGAGAGGATCACGTCAATGTTTCTTTTCATCCACATCAAACATTCCCTCTTCTTTGAACTGAAGTTGTCATCAAGTTTGACATGCACCAACTCCATATGAGCCTTTACTCAACTGTCGAATAAGGAGAAAGTCATCCATGAGTGGGTGAGGCCATGCCAATCACCAATTGTTCAACCATGAAGACACATTCACGTACATGGGGCATTTGAGTCATCATGGGATTGGATATTAATCGCTTTTACTAACCATGAGATCATTAATCAGGAAGGCTACAAAGCCATGGGAGTCATCACATGCATTTACCAATAACTATGTTCATTTGAAATTTCAGCTTTTTTTTTTTTTTTTTTTTTTTTTCTGGATAACTATTGCACATCGAGAGGACTCACAAACATTGAGGAGTACTTCATTTCATGCGAGAGTTGAACATTAATTTCCTTAATCCAAAACCTTAATCTACTAGCTCGTCGGCCAAATCCTTTGCATCTCTTATTTTTAATGTTTTAAAAAATGACATAGAACCAGAATTGTTTTGGCCACTAGTTTCTAGGTTGACGGTTCAACCGTTTGGTTCGAATAGGTGACTCGTTCTAACAAAAAAATTATAAAATAAAAAAAAAACAACTAAAAACCTTTGAACAGATTGACGGTTTAACTGTCTGAATCAATGAGAATCATTGACCGATTCAATGGTTTTTTGCAAAAGACCGGATTTAGAGTAAAACGAAACCAATTACCTAAACAGTTCCTAGGCCAAATAGTCCGACCATCTGATCAACAGCGATTTGAAAACCATACTTATTTCTTTTCAATGTGGGACTTATACACTCAGACACGTGCATCCCAACACTCCTTGATCCAAATTAAGCACAATCTAATTGAAAGTTAGTTTCAATCAAATGGTTCTAGTCTAAAGATAACCTCACCTATTGGACATTTCATGCTCTAACTCATCCTTAGTAGAAAATATGCATTTGAAAGTTCAGAATATATTGCTTGCAAATAGATCTAGAAAAATCAGGTTTGTTATTATGATTATTATTGATAGAAATTTCTCCTTTTCTTCGGGCCCATGTAACATAGCTATTTGTTTTCTAATTGCAATTAACTTAACGTTTCTTTTTTCTCCTTCTTACTTTATTCATGTGACCTCTAGAAGTAAAAGAGCCAAATGACTCAAATCCACTAGTAAAAAGTCCCCCCTCCCCCACCCCTTCTCCATGTGATGAGCCCTTAAAAGATTGTGAACAACCTCAAACAAACGTAGAATTTTATTAGTAGGCAAGGAGTCGTTGGTCGGTTGTTGAAAAGGTCCACTGCAGGTTTACTCAAACTAGGTTATAGGCACAACCTCTGTACATTATATATTACTTAACAAATTATGTTCCCAATGTAAAATATTTTATTTAAAAGGGAAAGTAAATATATGAGGTGGGAGTCTATAAACAACTGAGAATCTAGTCTTTTTGTTTCAATGTTTCATTTCTTTCCGTTTCTTTCTTGTAAGCTAATTTGTTTTTTTTTTTTAAAAAAATAAAAAATAAAAAACCAGGGAAAGACATGGCCTCTCCATTTGGTTCATCCACCTTGGGTCTCTCCTTGACCCTAAATACATGAAAAAGCTACAGCCTTGATCCCGGTTCTTATTTGCATAGTCAAGTAACGTGGCGTTTAGTAACATTCTTATTCCTATAGGTCCTGTTTGGTAGCATTGTATAGGCATTTTTCTGCAATTCCTGATTTAAAATGTTTTCCCAAAATAAGATAAACTATTTTTTAGGCTACCAGGTATATACGTCGGGATAAACAAAATATAAAAACATATAAGAAAAATGAGCCGTGTTTGGTAATGTTCCCTGGGAATATTTCTGTTGTTTATGATAGAAAATTAAAACATTCCATTGAAACATTACCAAACAGGGCCTAACTTATTGTTCTATTTTGTTTATCCCGACATAAAGATACATGATATTTTGTTTTAGAAGAATTTATTTAATCTTCCAAAAACCCTTTTAAACTGTAGGAATTGTTCCTAATTTAAGGATTGGAAAATTCCTTATTAGTATCTTATACTTTGGGCTCCTAACTTTAAAATGCCCTAATTTAATATCTGAACTTTTAAAGCGTGACAATCCAATATTTGTCATTAAGTGGCATTTAA